TAAATTGTATTTTCAAGTCCCAACCTTATTTAACTGAAATATCTTTTCTTTTCAGTTCTTACAGCCTAACAAAATGTTATGAAAAATCCTTCTAATTATTTTCCGTGTAGATTTAAGTTCTGCATAAGAGAGTGAGGCAGAAGGAAGCGGAGAGGGACGGAAACTGCTGAGCCAACGAAGCCTTTAAAGTTGGCAAAAAGCCTGCGGATGGAGCCGCACACATGTGTGTACATATAGATGGATGTGGATACGGATGTGGGTGGTAAATACAGGAGGAGGTTCCAGGGAAATAGGAAGAGGCGGAGATGGAGTTGCCCTGGCATTGTCTGTTGGCAATGAAAATACGACAATAATGACGTCGAGGGAACTTTCCGCCGTGGAGTCATGCGCCGTTCGATAGGCGCCCATAGAATGTGTGGGTGTGCGGACTGCTGCAATGCACCAGATACAGTGGTTAGATATGCAAATCGAAGTACTGGGGAATTGAACCGAATACCTTTACCTATTTATTTTGTATTTGAAAATAAGGGAAATTGTTAGGACCAAAAGACTGCAGTTTAAATAGTAATATGAAGCAGTGGACACCACAGGCCTAACCTATGGGAATGGGATATTTCTCTGCCGAAACACACAGTACTCTTCAGTAAGATCTTCATTAAATCCTGAATCTTGTGTCAAAACTGGCAGCAACCACTGTACTCGTTACCTCGATGTGCATATGTTTATTTAAGTTTCAGTGTGCGTATCGTTTTGGCAAAGATTTCATTAATAGCTTTTGTGGTTGTGAGGGCGGAGGACCAAGTGGAAAACGAGTAAGCAATGCATACTTGATTTGATATTCAACAAAAGGTGAGTGTAGTTCCCCCGATTCCCTCGACTCCCTTTTGCGAACCGCTCCTTTTCCCCAGGCTTCCTCCATTTCTCCGACATTTCTCTTTCTGCCCACACATCGTTATGCGCTTTAATTTGCAAATGGTTTTGCAGATTTGGTTGCGGTTACAAATTTTGTGGGGGAGTCTGCCACAGTGGTCACCCGTTGTGATGAAACCACTCAGCGTGTCCGCAACAAAGCTTTAAAAGAACAAAACGTGTCTGATGTGGCGCTCTTTTTAATGTTTCCTCAATTTGACTGCCCAAAAAAAGGTCGTTAATTACTGTTCCCCATCCCCTCGAAGGTAAAACACATTAGCTACACATTAAGAAAATGTAAAGATTTAATTTCTAGTTCTAAATAATAGATTACATACCAAATTTGTCAGATATCATGGAGCTTTTTCCCATGATATATCATCCACGCTTTTAATAAACCTTCCCATTTTAGTGATCCCTAAAATTTTTAAATTTTTTTCTGTGCATACGCTGTATAGCCATCGAGATCCAAGTCGCACCATTTCATTTCATGCTCGGCTGCCCCCGTCTTTTGTTTATTTATCATCGCCAAGCGAAAAGTGAAACCTAACCTCACACAGAGTATACTGAAATATATAAACAGAAAAGCGCCAGAACCTATTCCAATGCGCTAAGCTCCCGCCTTCCATCGACGAAAACAAACAACAATCGTCATCGATATGGATGGTGTAATGGGGTTCCGCGTTAATAAAAATTTTACAGTGCAGAAATTTATGCTTCAAGTCTAGACGACAGTTTTTGGAACGTGCTCAATTAGCACAAAGCCAAGGGGGGTATGAAAACCGAGTGGGGCGAGGAAAAACTAACGAGAAAAACAAAAACAGAATTTAAATTAAATTTTCGCTATGCCGCCTCCTCACGACTATAATTCACTCATTTTTACTACGGAATACAGAACCCCGCGGGTCTCGAAGATAAACTATGCACCGATATGGAATATCGCTACCTCTTTCTCCCTCTTTAAATCTTCCGGTCTATTGCTGTCTCACTTTCGTAGCCGTAGTCACAACTACAAAAGTCGTGCGAAAGTTGTTAATTTTCGTTATAGTTTTGTTTTTCACACCATATCACCGCACTCGGAATGGAGGGGGATTGGCATATTGTCTGACGATCTGAACAACAAATATAAGGCGAGTGGTTCGGGTGTCGACTGGGGGAATACCTCAAATTCTGATGTTATAGTGCTGGGGATATGAAACTTGGCAGAAAAGTGTATTATGGCTTGATAAAGAGGAACCCATAAGAAAAATTTGGATATTACTATATCCCCCTATCATATCATACCAAATCATAGTATCATATCGTGACTTAAAAGCGATATAATGGTTCAAAACAATATTTCAATAACCCTTCTCTCCCCATATACCCATTATTTGCCCGTTACATCTGAAATATCCAACTAGTCACACCCTTTACAGCCCCCCGTTGCGTTTGGTATGCAAATTCAAGACGCTGACTTTGTTGCTACTTTGTTTTTATAGCCTGTAGTTGCAATTTGTTGTAGTGTTTCTATTCTCGGCGTGCCTTTCGCAATTTATTTGCAGTTGTGCCCGCTATATTTTGTACGGAATGTTCGGGAAAGTATTGCGCCATTATTTTGGAGATGGGGTGAAAATTACAAATAATAAGGGGGCGTAATGCTACGCCCACGTGAGAGTTTTGGGCCTACGAATTGGGAAATTATTTGCAGAAGGCAGCGAGAGAGAAAGAGAGAGGTAAACAGGAAGAGCTTTTCTGCAAAAAAAGTTGGGAATCTGGAAGAGGCACGAAAACAAACAGACTTCCGCCTCATCCACCCACCGAAAATGAATACATAAAATGTGTCTTAACCTTGACATTGGACGCCAAATACAAAAAAAGAGGAAAACACAAATATGCCGGCAGACAAAACAAGTTAAAAGAGCGTGAGCGAGAGAGGGAGAGCCAAGCACATTCATTCATTAAACAGAGACGGCAAATTTAAAGGGAAATGTCAGAACTTTTTTGTGACTTTCTTCTTTTTAGCTCACCTTTTGAATCAGCAAAGTTTGTTTACCGTGGACAGCAGCAACAATAACAATCAAAAGCACTGAGCAAAAATTAAATAAAATAAAAATGGGCCGCGTGTGGCGCTAAAAATAAACGCCAGTAAATACAAACAAAACAAGAAATAAAAAATGGAAACAAAAAAACGAAAGGCGATAAACAATTTTATGTACGTTTATTTTTGAATTTAACGCAAATCATCAAAAAAAAGAGCTGATAAGCAAAAATGCAGGCTCAGGGGAATCAAGAGAAAAATAGAACTCAAAAATGTTTAAAAACAGTAAAGTATTAAAACCGAAAGTTATTCTCACTCATAGTAAAAGTAAAACCAATTATATATCTTATCTTGGGGATATGGTATCTTTAAAATACCTTAGTTGGAAACATTATATTATAAATTCTTTCAAACAAAAAGAGAACATTTCATATTCCAAAAATCGTAACCTTTATATATAGGAACTAAAAACCTGATTATAAACTCCTTAAAAAAATAATAATACCCTCTTAAAGGGTATAAAAACACACAAAAAAATAAGGCAAACGTAGTGGCCTTGAAAAGTGGGCAAAAACAGAAAACGAGGAGAAAGATAGAGAGCGAAAAGCAGAAGAATGAATGGAATTATGCCATAGAAGGCAAAACAAAGTTCTCAGCTTAGAAAGAGAGGGCCATACACCTAGTGAAAGAGACGGACAGAGGGTGAGGGGTTGAGATTGCGATTCTAAAAACCTGAAGATCGCGTTCAAAACAACAATAACAAAACCTACAAAAAGCGATCCAATTCTTTTTCGTGTTTTTCTCTTACTGTTTCTCTTGGCTCTTTCGTTACTATATTTTTTTCAATCGCTTTGGAATAAATAATATTTTTCTGTTGCTCTTGGAAACGGAAATATTAAAATTGGTCATAAAATAAATAAAATAACACATGTGGAAAACATACCATACGATGAATGTGTGTTGCTATATGGCAGCAAATAAATTTCAATAATTTTTCATTTCTTATGATTTATGAATAAGAGTTCTGGCAAAAGATACAGGAATGGCTGAAGATACAAGAAGCCTTGACCCAAAGCAACAAACAAAAAATAAATAAAAGCGAGAGAAGATTCAGATAAAAGTGAAACTCGTGTAAGATCGAAAGTAGGGGGGATACTTATAATGCAAATTATCTCTCTTTTTTTGTATCTGCTGAAAAGATTAAAATCATGAACTTCCTTAAAAAGAAAATATTCGCAAATTTCGCAGATAAACAAGCGCATTTTAGTTAATATTTCTGCAAATATTGTCTGTATTTTGCAGCTGTTCTGCCATCAAGGTTATATAAGCTATAGAGCCGGCAAACGAACGAAAAACGGGCAAACAATCGCGTCAATTGTTGATAACACTGTGCAACACGATAAAGGAACCCAGAACATCAATCTGATATCGGGAATTGAAATTTTGGTTGATAATATTTCTTGCCACATGAAGTTTTAGCAAGAAATGACTGAAGAAAATGGAGAGGTTGGCATATACTTCGTATGAGTAATAATCCAATTTTATTATCGCAAATAAAATAGGCCCACAAATATTAAACAAAATTGATTAAGCATTCTCCTGAATTGTAATTGCTTTAGCCTTTATGAACTAAAATAGAATGGTAGCTACAAAACTAATTTGAAGAACATTTTGGCCCTGGGCTGTTCTGGTCGTTCAGTGTAATTGATAAAAGTTTTGTGAATAAATATTGAAATTGCTGATGTGCTCCAAACCACATGTTGGGGAATTTCGCCACACATATTTCGACTTTCCTCGTCTTTTGCTTTTTTAAACAAGTTAACCAAGGTTTTAAGTTTGGGAAAAAGAATTATTAAAGCTGTCGCCTAAAGAATTCGCGTTCTAATACTAAAATATTTTGATTATATGGATATGGATTTACGGATTGTTAAGGTAACCAAGGTTTTAAGTTAAGGGACAAGAATAATTTTAATTTTTGACTGAAGAATTCGCGTTCTCCGCTTGAAACTGCAGAATTTGTTTTTATTACATTTTTTTTAGGGATTTTATAAATATTTTAATGTGAACTTACCGCACTCGCTCGGAATAGAGTTCGACCTCCTTGTTCTTCTGCTGCTGCACAAGTTGCTGCTGTTCATAGCTGGCCAAGGGCTTAAAGTTGCTGATATTGGCCAAAGCAGGCAGATTATTCTGTTGCTGCTGCTGCTGCTGGGGAGCAATTAGAAGGTTCTTGGACAAACCCAGGCCGTTCTGCAGAAAACCCACGGGTTGCATCAGCAGTGTTTGCTTCAATTGCTGCACAGGCGACACGGGGATCTCGCCACTGGATTGGGAGGCCGATGGCGAGGTGGAACCACTGCCAGCTCCACTGGAGGACAGACTGCCAGCCCTGGCCCTCAAGTCCAGGCCGAGGACATTGTTGGGATTCAGGATGTTGCTCAGAGTGGCCACCACACTGGGCTGCAGCAGATCCGAAGAGCCGTTGTTGCCGGCATTGCCATTGTTGCCGGTGGTGTTGCCACTGTTGTGGGGCAAACCCGACCCTATGACACCCACATTCGGATTGGGCGTCAGTCCGCCGTAACTATTGCCATTATTCTGGCTCAAGGGGGCCTTGGAGTTGCCATTGCCATTGCGATTCCGCTTCTTCTTGGCCTTCTTCTTGTCATCGTCCTCGCTGAGGTTGCCATTCAGGCCATTGGATCCCCTATTACCAGATCCATTGAGGTACAGAACGCCCTGGTTGGTGGGGGCCACCCACTCGAGATCCTTGCGCAGCTGTCCGCGGCCGCACTTGCAGCTGCAGGCCTTGTGGACCAGCTCGTAGCCCTTCTTGGTCCACAGGTGCTGGAGCCGCTGCCTCTCCGACCAGGAGCGGGCCCTGCCGTTGGCCTTGAGGGTCTGCAGCACGCCCGCCTCCCACAGCTCGAAGCACTCGCGGTGCATGTACTGCCCTGCACTGCAGTTCTCGTTGTTGCAGAGCACCCGGATGCAGTCGGCCAGGGCCAGTTCGTTCAGCGGTATCAGGGAGTCCAGTTTGCGGCAATCTCCGCTGGGCAGGCAGCAGCGCACCACGCCCCCAACGCCCCCGGATCCCTGCATGGGCGCCATCAGAACGCCTGAAGAATTCGCGTTCTCCGCGTAGAACTGCAGCAGTTGCTGCTGCTGCGTCTGGTGTTGCTGCTGCAACTGTTGCTGGTGCTGCTGCTGCTGCTGGGTGCTGCTGTTGCCGCTGCTGCTGATGTTGCTGTTGCGACGCGGAGCCATAAATTTATATTTTTTCTTTGCTCTCTAAATGAGCACTTTCTGCGTTAAATTTATTTGGTGGACTGGCTGCCTCGAAAAATATCCTCCTCAATCTCTATTTCGGATGAGCATTTTTTCGACCATTTTATATTTGAAAATATTGCTTGTTGATTCTATTCGGGAATTTATGCTGTGATTTGTGGCCCATAAATGCTTGCGGTGTATATTTATTGAATGCCTCCAGTGTTTTATTTTTGAACCGATTTCAGAGTATTTTTAAACCGATTTTTGGGTATTTCCAGCGAGTTTGCGAAATTATTTACCGATTTTTATTGGCTTTTTGAAAATATTTTTAGGTTTTTCAGAGGACTTTTGTAAATTTTGTGTAGAAAAGTGGGTATGGGCAGACAAAAGTCTGTTTTACGAAATTTTAGTAAGATTTTATTTTGTCAGTTTTCCGGTTTTCAAGATTTAATATTTTGGAATTACTTTTTAGGTTGTATATTGTAAATGCTTATTTTTGTCGTCGACTTTTTAGATTGTTTTTTAAATTGCTTGGTTTTGCGAGTGGGTTTTTTCAAGATGGTTTTATTTTTTAAACTTGGTGATTGCTTTTTTATTGCTTTTAAAATCGTACACCTCCTTCTGTGTGTATCAAAAATACTTCGAAAAAATTCCCGTTTATGCAGTCTGTTTTTTAGTTTTTTGTTGTACCTGAGCTGAGTTTATTGTTGTTGTAGAACGTTAAGTATCAAAAATTGTTTCTATTGTTTATCTTCGATCTCTGTCTCCCTCTCACACGTTCGTTCTGTCTCTGTCACACACGCGGCGCCATGTTCGGCAATTTTTCACATTTTGCTTCGCCTTCTGCGTTTGTTTTTGTTGCCTCTCCTTTGCCGCTTTTTGTTTTTGCCGGCAAAACAGAAAGGAAAAACAAGGAGGAAAATCGCGGGACTTGAGCTTGGTTGTAAAACTTCCGATTGGTTTTCTGTACACAGGACAAGGATAAATACAAACTGGAGTTTCCCTCTTCTCCTCTTCGGTTTCAAAGTTTTTCAGTGTTTTCCACGAACGGCGCACGCAGAGAGAAGCCAAAAAACACAACCAACCAGTTCGAAAGCAAAATTCAAACTGTTTTTCGTTTCGCCTTTCGTGTTTGTCCGTTGCGTTCGAACCGCCGTCGCCGTCGACGCCAGACCGCGCGGCGACTGCGCTGCCGGCGTCGCTGCTTGGCATTGGCAGCGAAGTTGGAGTTTCCCTCTTTTTCCCGCTTTTCCGCCCGTCGCCGGCTTTTTGGGGGTTGGTGGGTGGTGGTTGGCTGGTTTTCACTTTCCACCACCGCCGCCAACCGCTCGCTTTTCATTCGGCGGAAAACTCAACAGATTTTGGCGCTAAAAAGGGAAATGGTGGGGGAAAATGGTGGAAAGGGGTTGGGAAAACGGGGGTGGGGTGTTATTGGGGGCAACCGGAAAATAGATAAATCTTAAGGACATAGTTTAATGAAATTTTAGCATTAAAACTTAACGAAATTAATCCTAGTCATGGAATTATCTCGTGAACATAAAGAATTTTCATTATAATTTTACAACTTAGTAGGATATTTTTTACACGGATTTGTAAGATTAAATGAAATTAAACTACATATTTCAAAGCTTATTCTTCGGAACTTATTTTTAAATTTTTCATCCGAAAATAAATATGACTTTAAATAAGAACATTGTTATTTGCTAATTTATAGAAAGCTTAGATATCTTTAAAATATACACACAAATAAGGTTTTTTTTATCATTTAATACTTGTTTTTTTAAAATTTATTTACCTTTTTAATCTCCGTTTTAATATATACAAATTATAAAAAGAACTGTTTAATTTCCATCCTCTCGAATATTCGCCCAAATTCACTTTCGTTGGCAGTCTCAGTCAAAGCTCTTTTTGATTAATTTAAAATAAGAAAATATTGAATTGAATATATAATAAATTGTTTTATTTATTTAAGGACTTTACACTTTGATTTTAATACAAAATTATTTTTTATTTATCTAAAAAATGGTTACAATTTGTTTTATAACATTTTCCACTTCATTGAAATATTTTCAAATGAAAACATGCAGTGTTAAACTAAATTTTACCTACAAGTTTTTAACCTTTAATTCACTTTTTATCAGGGAAAGTATGTATTTTTTTGATAAAAAAATTAATGTGAAGTAACGTCGAACATCAAACATGTATGAACAACAATGTTGCCAAACAAAACAATGCTTAGCAACATTGTTGCTCATACACGTTTGACGTTGTCGTTCGAACGCAACCGCAACACGTAACGTAAGCGCACGTATACGTAATAAAGGCGTGCACTGGTGTTTGTGCAAAAACCGGCAAAGTAAACAAAATGAAAACAGGGCTGCCGAGTTTCGGGAATTCGCAGCGCACTTTTGCTTTCCTTGGCTAATCTCTTATTTCCAGTGGAAGTGGAAATGCTTGCCATCTCTTTCTAGCGGAACTAGCCCTCTCTGTCGCACTCTACGATTGCGATTTTATTTTATTTGTGTGATTGTACATAATCCCCTATATGTATGTTGGCACACACAAACTGACAAACATACGAACACAATGCATGCGAATGCCGGCAATAAAAGAGGCATTAAAAACACACAAGCAGCAGAAGAGACAAAAAACAAGAAGAGAAGGAATGTAGAATTCGGGATTAGCGAATTGGAGGTACCCTTCATTGATAAAAGCTATGAATTTTCCAATGAATCCTTACAGTTTAGTCGGAAATCTAATAATGTTATGCTATTAAAACTGAGAAGTTATTAAATAAAATGATAAAAATTAGATATGTTGATGGTTTCAATATAATTCTTCTACATATGATCATGAATTCGAAAATGTAACACTTTAAAGTTAGTTGGCTAATAATAAAAATCTCTATATCAAATTTAAACCAAAAGTTTATAAAAAATCCAGTTGAAAGATACGAAAATTTGAAATAGTTTTAGTATTATCATAGTTATACCCAAATAATAGTCATATAAAAGCTGTAAATTATTTAAGAATGCTATACCTAGAAGTACTTAAAAGTTCCCTAGTTACCTTTAAAATAGGGTATTAATTTCACTGCCAAGCCGAAGTATAATTCCAAACGTAGAGCCTTTTTTATTGTATCCTCGCCAGCTTTTATGTATTGTCCTGTCCCTCTCCTCTCATTCCCTCTTTTTGACTCCCTTTTTATATCAAAATTCCCGCTGCGCGTGTTGCAAAAAAAGTATGCGAAATCGAACAAGAAGAAGCGGTAGAAACGGCAAAACAAGGGCACGTGTGGAATGGAAAGTGAAAAACGGAGTGGGAAGGGGGTTACGGAACCAGATGAGGATTTCTTATAGGACTCAGGATCCTGGGTTCTATTCTTTTAGGAGCTGTGGTGCAAAGTCAAGGTCCAATTCCACTTATTTTCGAGTCAAACTGCGCAGTTTCCATTTTTTTCTTTCTTTTTTCGACCTGCCGGGAAGAAGGGTGGAAGAAAAGAGGGTTCTGATATAATAATTAAGTCAGTCAGGTAGGCAGATCGGCAGCCATTGCGTAATAAGATCGTATATGGGTTGTTTGTTGTTCTAGCTAAAAGGATCGAAGGAACCCAGATGAAGAAGGAGAACAAAGGAGAGCTGAACTAGTTTGTTGTTGTTGTCATCGCTGCTTTATAATTCTCAAGGATTTCGCTTTTGTGTTCCATTCGGCTCTGACCTAATTTTAATGACCAATGCATAACGAAAAAAATAATAATAAAAAGAAGAGGAAGACGCAGCACACGATGGCATGTGTTTAAAGAAGGAAGAAAGGAGGGGAAGAGCCCAGAAAGAGAGGAGGAGAGAGTCTGGAAGCCTCGGGCAAAAGCTGAGCCCATAATTCTTCGGCGACACGCATCAAGTTTAATTTGCATAATTAATGGCAATGCTGCATTGCCCCAGGGCCGAAAAAAGGGTTGCCAGGTTGCAATGTGATGTACTGAGTTGTAATGTTAAAAATTGTGGAAAAAACATAACAATAGTAGGGATTTTTTTTTATTATTTTCCAATTTTATTCGAAATTCCTACCATTTTTTGAGATTCTGTCAAGTTTATAGTTGACTTTTAATAATTCCTAACCTTAAATAATTTTAAAGACCCAACTTTGCTTTTATTGGATCCAGTTTCTAATGCTGGTGTGATAACTTTGCTTGTTCTTGGCAACTTTCTGCGTGTTTCTTGGCTTCCTGTTTGGGCTTCTAACCAGGGTGTGAAAGCGTGTTCTTCGAAGGAACTTTGCGGTGGCGTAAGAGTATCCACAAGATAGACAATCCCAATCCCCTACCTCAACCCACCATCATCCATTTATTCCAGGCCTCTCCTTGTGTTTTTCGCATTTGCCACGTTTTGAAAGTCCTGGGGGTGTTTTGGGCAGATGTGTTCGACACCCACCCGAACTCGTACTCCTCCATCTATAAAGCCCTCCGCCTTCCACTCCGCTCCTCCCGGCAGAGCGGCATTATTTGTAATTACTCATACTCCCGCATTTACCCAATCGGAAGCAACTTTGAAACCCAAAATAGGGTTTGAAATTCAACTGCCATGGCAACCCAACTCAACCTCAAACCGCCGAAAGAACGAAAGTACATAACGGTAAACATAATACATACCCAAAAAACATATAGACATAAAAAAGAGACAAAACGGTAGAGAGAGTTGTGTTTTTCAGTCGACGGAGGGTGTCGTAATTTCGTTTCGTTGCCAAAAATAACCCAAACTCCATTTTGTTCGGCACTTGTCGAAGGATGATGATGATGGTGGTCCGTAACTCGGGATGAATCCCTTTTTCGCCCTTGTGGAAGGGATCCCAGATCCCAAAGTGGGTCTGATTCACGCCGCTGTGCTTACATAAGCGAAATGAAGTCAGCATTCGCCCCATAGACATACATATTCCCATTTAGCGAACGGAAGTTGTACTCTCGAACCGAAATGGAATCATTTTCGCGTCCATGTGGACCACACATTTGGAAAACTTTGAAGAACTTGTACATACATATGAACATTTATTTTTAATTGGACTTAAAGCTTAAAGATTTGCAAAAGTTAGTGATCAAAAACGGTATCAAAACCAGTAAAAAATTTAATTTCTTCTTAAATTCGATTAAAACTATGTTCCTCAAAGAATTTCAGTAAAAATATGTTACAAAAGCATAGAATTTGGCTATTGGTAAACACTTACGAACTCAACATTCCAAGTACTATCTAAAAAACTCTTCGATAGACGTTTCGATATCTTTTCTATGCAGCTCGTGGGTCTGTGTCTGTATAGAACAATAGATGGAATAGAATACGTTTCTTTTTTTAGACCTATGTAATGTTTTTATTAACCAAATGTATTATTTATAATAAAAAATATATCCGAAGAAGTAAACCTACATAAGAAATGAACTTTTTTCAGAACCCTTCGGAAAACAGGGAGTTCCATTTGCTTTCCAAGTTGTATTTCAGGGGGTTTGTGGGTTGCCAAGTTCCCTCCCACTTAGTCCTGTATCCTGTATCCTCCTTTTGTGTGGACCTTTCTCCGTGGCGCCAAGTGAAAGTGAGCGAGACGGCACATCCATGCTGAAATTTCATTTGTCCTTTGTGGCAGCAACCACAAGGATGAAGGATAATGGTGGGGGTGGTGGAAAGAGAAGGGGCGAGAAAGGAAGAGGGGCAAAGAGGCGGATGACGAGGCGCACGCACTTTTCGGCTCAGCATTTTCGGGGTTATTTTTTATGCTGGTACTTCAGAATAATATATATACGTACACAAGTAATAAACATACAGGGTGTTCCACCAGGAATATTCCCAACAATTTAGCTCTAGTTCCAGAGGTAGAATGGGAAACTCCGCCCACTCATGACCAAATACTGTTTTTCCAGGTAGAAATTCACAGGTAAGCAGGAAAATGAATAACCAGGAAAATGAAGTCGGGAAAACAAACATTCTGATGAAAGGGAAAATGGAGAACATTTTAACAAATGGCGGCAGTATTTGATTGGGTGATTTTTCACATAAATAGGGAGTTATACCCAAAAATTGGGAAGTTTGGCTTTCATTATATTAATGTTTCACTCTATAAA